AGCACTTTGATAAAATGATCGATGGAGTCTTTATATGAAAAATTAAATATTGGAGTCGATTGAACGGAGGTGATTGTGCGTGTTAAAACATTGTAGAGCACTTTCTCGCAAACGATGCTCAATAATATTAATATGTGATTTCGATTCGTTTTCGATTATTTATTACCACTTTCGTTCTGCACTGCATGCCACGCTCACAAGTCGATGGTGATTCATCGGGGCTTTATTCGATTGGAATAAACAAAAATTTTTAAACGTTGGAAAAAACTGTATAGCCAGTTGAAAATTTTTTGTGTATGACTATTGCATGCAAATTGCATCAAATTTCGTTTCATTATGTAATACAATTTCTAATCCCGTTGCTTATTTAAACCCGGTGGCAATTTACATTTGTTATGAGTCTGCACACATTAATCCTATCAAATTGCATCCACAATCATCAATATATGACCCCATAACCGAACCAAAATTTACCATTTTGTTGATAGCAACAAAACCATATTTTTATTGAATAAAATCGGACAATTTTGCATCAGTATCAATCCGTAATATTTTTTTATCAAAGAGGAAACATCTTTATAAGTCATATACGTCGAAAATATTATTATTTACGTCTACAGGAATGACTACAGACATAAAGAGAATATATGGCGAAAGTTAGACGAATTTGGGTCAAAATATGAAAGTTTTTCTGTTCGGCAATTTGGTGTTTTGACCTTTCGTGATTTTGAATATTAAATTTTCATACTGCTATTTCTGTTACACACATAATTGTAACAGTTTGAAAAAGTTGAATTAGAAATCCCGTAAGCTTTCGATATTTTTTCAGCACAAAAACGTAATTTAATCTCAACATCTGCGTTTGAAGTGGTGAGATCGGTGGCTCGACCCTTATTTCTTTCCTTAACACTCGCATTCCAACCCTCAACTCGTTGATACCTTAATTCTGGAAAAAATCAAATTGCTCGGCGATAAAGCCCGAATAAATCGTCGCTTTTCGGCTCATTCTAAAATGTTGATTGAAAATACTGTTTCAAGTTTTAGTTTGTTTTCCGGTGGAAGTTTCCGACAAACGGCCGGCAATTGAATTTCTTCGAGGAACTTTTTCTATATTTTATTTCGCTTGAGCGTCCATATCCGGCTAAAGGGACAATGTGGATGCCGATCGTAGTGATCTCGTTTTTTAGCAAATTTCGGTTTGAGGTATTCAAACTTTACGATTTGTGGACCAAGTTTTAATAAAGGACAGGAAACTTGAAGGATTGTGCTCTCAACTAATGTTTGTTAAGCTCTAAGAAAAATTCGAATTTTTGGTGAAAAACTATTAAACTACTTGATATAAACAGTATACTATAATAAACTACACTACGCAGAAGAGTTCTCAAAAATGTAAATTATTTTTAACATAAAATCTTTTGTATAATTTTAAATTGAGTTGCAGTACCTATATTTTAATTAATTTTTTTTATTTTATTATAATAGTTTGAAAAAGTACTTAGAGTATGCCAAAAGCGTTTCTTTTATTTAAATAAAACCGCTTTTAACATATTTCATTCCTCGCGGCAGTGGCAAAAAATTACAAAAGCTCTGTAAAAGTTAACTAGAACATCCCCCTAAAATAAAAGTCTACCTGAATACTTTGTGAGTTACGATTATGGCTGTCGGAATTCCACTTATTACTAATTATATTCCAACTCAAAGCAGAATTTTAATTATTATTCGCCAGTTTTACATATTAAAAATTTGAACATGTTTGCGGGCTTTATTTATTTTTCCTTGATTGTCGAGGAAAATTCCCCGGAAAACTTCAAGCTGAAATAAATTAAACTAGTACACGTCCTGATAAAAATTCAATTAAAGCCGCAATATTTCACCTTCTCAACTTCAGCCGCTGAAATTTTATGCCCAAATTCACCGATTCGGGGTTTTATAATTCGCAAACAATTTGAGAAAAAAATCAATCTCGCGACATTCTCATAAATTTTAGAATGAGTTAATAAAGAAAAGTTTTTAAGTACACTGCTGGTAGTTTATGGCCTCCACGGAGCATCTACAGAAATAAAGCACAAGCAAAGACTGATATTGGTCAAACAGTGAGAAAATATCTTTTATAAGCAATTCAAATGCTAAACAATCTTTTATGTTATTGAACGAGTGCCAAGCGTACTTTACTGAACCAATTTAACTGCAAATGGAGCTATAACTTTAATCTTGACTATTTTTTTAATAGTGGCTAGGTGCTGCAATTGAGCAAATTGATAGAAATTTATTACGTCATAACGTTGCGACTGACTTTACAACTAGTACGGCTTTTAGCTATATCAAAAGTAATTACAGAACATTCTTTACGTTCCGACTGGAAATTTCGATCAAATGCAAACATTTATGCATACACTATTTAGTGTTTTAATACTTACCTCAGCTCTATTTAAAGCCAAATTAGTTAATATTTATTTAATTATATGCAAAAATAACTATTTCTAAAGTAATAATGTATTTCTTGTCATAAAAATGTACGTTTTATTTTTTCTTACGTTTTGACAGTGATGTTTGACGATTAATTTTTCCAAAACCAAACATACTTTGTTCTTTTAATTATATTTACTATCTAGACAATAATGTAGTAAATGTGTGTTTTAAATTGGAAGTTGGTTGTTTCATAGATAACAGACATTGACCGAGAAAGTTTTGTTGGTCCCTCCTGTATAACATATCTCTATTGGTAAAAGTAGTTAAAGCATTTTAACTTAATAGTATATTATGTTATTAGGAGTAAAAGTGATAATTTACATTGCGAAATTATTTTGACGAACGCAGTGAGGCAAATAATTCAGTTGAGTTACATAAACTCACTTTTACTCTAAAAAACATATACTATTTTATAATAAAAGGAAAAATAGATTCTTAGTTCCTGTTCTTTCAAAATTTTTTGTTACACTAGTTTTTACTACTACTTACTACTTTTACTACTTAGTTACACTGTTTCGGCTCTTTTTAGATAGCCATCTTCAGGCAATATACTCACTTCCGACAAACAAAATTTGTTTTTATAAAATGATGTAGAAGTGTTGGGCGGAATCGGTTGTGAATAAATCAATATTGCCTAAAAATGGCTATCTAAAAATAGCCGAAACATGTAGCTAGTGAACAGGACTTAACAAAATATTTTTCCCTTTTTTATTACCAAAAAATCTCTGACAAATTGAATTAATATACTATTTTATTTGTTAACGTACTCAGATCTAGAATAAAGAGCAACACTAGTAAATTTAACTTGGGGTGACTAGTGCAGTTGGTAGTGCCAAATGTCAGATGCTGATGATCTACAATATAGCTCTACAAAAATTACTCCAAAAAAGACAAGAAAGAAACAATATTGGTAAATGTCAATGTCATCGTAAAAGTAAAAACGCTTAGGCGCAAAAATAGAATTTTTACCCTATGTCTGAAAGGTAAAAGTTTTACTTGTTTTAGATAGTCCTAAAAAGGTCACTGACCTTTGCACATGTATTTTGTGCCTTATTTTTTGATCACAAAACCTAATTTGATTATTTTGTACCATTTTATATGGTATTTTTATTCAAATAATAAACTCTTAATAATTGTTTCGAGGCGTCGGCCGTGTATGGGGGTGGGGTGGTAATCCAGCATCGCACAATTGCCCTTGTTCGATTCAATTCCGTAGATTTTTATGTAAATGGTCCATCGATCATTTTGTTGGAACCGCTTCAGTGAACAGCTTTAAGCACCCGAATTTACAATACATCGATTCTCATAATGCTGCCATTTAAACTTTTCGTCAAAGCTTTCTGAATGCAAAATGGCCGATTTAACGTACAATTCGCATATAAACAAGTGTCATACTTTTAAAATAATAAGTGCTCGTTATCGATATTTTTCCTGAAAAAAGCATCAACACAGGTCATTATTTACGGTCTAGTAGCAATTTTAATTGAGTGATTTATTTTCAAACAATGACATCAAAAGTGTTTTATTTGGTTAAAGCATTTGTAATTTATTCGATTCATTACATGGTCGGTACGCTTCAGTGAGTTTAGTGGACTATACGACAATCACAGAAACCCACATACAATGATGTTTGGCGGTATTAAACCGTAATTATGATATTTCACCTGTATAAGTTGAGAGGTCGTAAAGGAGTTGGAGATAATTGTGTTATAATTGTTGCGTTAGAAACTGTCTGAAACTGCCGTTACTTCTTGACTGGATTTCCAACTTTGAAAGGGAATTTAACGTACTGTTGTGCTGTGCAATCATCTCTAATATTATGTTCGCTGCATTTTATTTGAAATTAACTCAAAATTAATTAGTATAATTACGTTACATGTGACGGGTTTCAACCAAGTACGACACTAAAACAAAAACAAAAAGCGCTGAAATTATATTTTATGACCAGTGTATTTGCCCATAATGCAAAATAAAGTTTTTAATTTTTTAACAAATTTAAATTTTCACTTCTTCAAAAAAAATATGACGACTGATTTTTTGATTTATATTTTTTGTGAAAATACCAACTGGGCTGTAAAACCATTTACCGTTGTTCAAATTGCTTTTGAGAAAAAATTGTTACATCCTTATTCGGTTTGCGGGTGCGGTGCGGCGATAAAAAGAAACCTTATAAAAATATGGGGTATGGGTCGATTTGGCACCTCTCCCTATTTACTTTCGTGATATGAGGAAAACCGAGTAAAATCAACATCGTCTTTTGAAAGAGAATGCACATCGTGAAGAGATTCGTCGCACACTTCACTCTCACTCTGCTACTTGAAGCGAACCAAGTTCAAATGATTTCCTTAAACAAAGCATGACCCTTTCGGGTTTTGTTTGACGTCCTCGGGGGACGTTCAGACAATAAACAATAGGTCGAGGGCTTGTTTAAAGTGGCTAAAGATCTACAGATAACTTTATTTATATTTGTATCTGGATAGATAAAACGTGTGCCGGATGGCAGGATTAGGGAGTGAGAAATTAAAACTGGATGAAATAGACAATATATTTATTTACTTTTCAACATCCATCCATTTCAAAAACGTCGCTTACAATAGTTTATCCAACGATATCGTCGAAATCATACAAAATTTAGACTTATACGACCCTCTAAACGACTAGTTGCAGCAAATTTCATCACAATTATATTAAATTCCTTACAATTATTACAACTAAAAACATCTCAACAGAACAGTCTTTAAGACACAGAAATAAACAATAAGTATAAGATATTTATTACGTTGAAGGTTTTGATGTAGTGGCTCCCAGCTGAACTTTGTGTGACTGAAACAGAAAAAAGAAAGTTTGTTTGATACATCATTTATCATTTTCGTGGAATTATAAAAGAAATAAAGCAAGAAGTTGAACAAAATCGGTGTAAATGACAAGATTGTATTTCATATGTGAGAATTGTTGGGGATTTCCCAACGCAATTAAAAAAATATTATTATTATTACAGAGTGTTAACGTGTTATTTTTGCATGTACTGTGAATTTTAATAAACGCGAGCGATGAAAACTGTAATAAAACTCTTATGGATAATCGGGATTACAACTACTAAAAGTTTAAAGTTTATGTTCCGATTTAATTATGTTATAAAGCGGTGTAAAAGTCGACTCTTGTTCTCATATGTTTTCGACAATTAATAATTTTTTTTTGAAAACTTCTGGATGTTTTTCAATCCTCAACAATGTGATATAATACTTTTAGCTTCCATTTCATGCCAAAATATCAACACGTTTTTGTCATTTTTAGTAATAAATTTAATTTAAAACTTTCCGGTTTTATCAATCAATGATTTGAACCAAATTAGAGTTGAAGCTTCTCCACTGCATTATTTTTGAGTGTACATTATTTATTTGTGTAATTTACCAAGATAATGAAGTATTGGGCGGGGTCGGAAGTGAAAATGGCCTGAATATGGCTAAAATAGCCGAAACATATAGCTAGTGTAACAATAAATTTTAAGAGAACAGGACTCAAGAAAATATTTTTCCCGTTTTTATAACCAAAAAATTCCTCACAAATGTCAAATGTCTAATGCTCACGATCTACAATATAGCTCTCTGAAAATTGCACTAGCAGTAAAAAAGACAAGAAAGAAACAACATTGGTAAATGTCAATGTCATTGTAAAAGTAAAAACGCTTAGGCGCAAAAATAAAATTTTTACTCTATGCTCAAAAGGTAAAATTTTTACTTGTTTTATTTCGCACATAAAAGTTTTTTATTTTATTTTGTGGCTTTAATCCTTAATAATATGATTTTATAATAATTTTGGTTATCATTTCATGCTAAAATATCAACACGTTTTTGCCATTTTTGGTAATAAATTCAATTTAAAAGTTTCCGTTTTTTCAATCAATGATTTGAATTAAATTAGAGTTGAAGCTTCTCCACTGCAGGTTTTTTTTTTTTTGAGTGGACATCATTTATTTATATGACTTATCGAACTCACCTCTTGCTGGTATCGGGTCTTTCATGCTCGTGTTAGGCATGGTGACTTGGACGTCCCTTTCGTAAATCTTCCCGATTCTTGCGATGCACTTGAGCGTAATCCTATCGCTGTGGAAATGAGACGGAAAAAGAGGAAGCTCGAGCGACAGTTCGCTCCACCACAACTCTTGCGTGGCGTGTTTGCGAGTTGCACACTTTTCGCACACCTGAAATCAAGAAGAATAACCCAGACATTCCTTAAATCCGTGGAATCTCGACGAGAGGTATTACGTCGACCTATTTTATTAATTACACCGTAAATTTTCTTTCCCTGGCAGATTTCATCGTCTATCGTAAATTTAAGACGATGATTGATTTTCAATTGGAAGCGAACATTCAGGTATTCTTTTTTATTGTCACTAAAGAAAAATCGTAAAACAATTTGCTTGTTTTTTATCTTTGTAAAATATTTTGGAAACGTAAAGGATTTCTTCTGTGTAAAATTTTCACTCACCACTTTATTGTTGAGCATGAAAGTGAGGGTGGCTGCGGGTCGCGAGGCTGGCGAGGTGCAATTGGCTCGTAACACATCGCCGTTGTCATAAGATGTTTTTTCAGTGACAAGCGTTGGCTCCTGAATGGGTAAAACTGAAATTTTTGAAAAAACTTGAGACAATGTTCATTGAGAGTAACTAATTCGTGCTATTCCATAACCCTCGATTACTCACCAACAACTAGCATATCTTTAGAGACAGCCGCTGTGGAGAAAAGGGGCGCATCTGTGGTCACTTCGCATGTAAACTTTCCAGAGAGACTGAACCCTACCTCCCTCAGGACCACCTGCTTCTCATCCGATTGCTTTAGCTGCAATTCAATTCTTGTTAGGGCGATTACACTTTATGATTATATGAAATAATGTGTCAAGGGCTTTGCACGACTGAGTGCTCTTGCATGTACCACAATACTCGTCATGTTTGTGGACCAAATCGCAACAAATCTATACCTTGTCGAGGGTCAAACTGTTGTAGGGATTTGCATAAATGAAAGAGCGAATAAATTACCGTGAAGTTAATGGTTTGAAGCTTGTTTGAGACCCAATGTGGAAAAATTAATTTTAGGCTACATATTTATTTTTGAAACTGTTTAATTTAGATCAAATTTTCGTGCAATCGTCTCGAAAACCTGCGTCACCAACCCCACTTTTAATATCCCGTGAGAAAATTATCGAAACAATGTAGCGTGAAACCCTCCACATATCATTTCCCGCTGACAATTTTTCCCGCTTCTGTTTTCCAGTAATAAATAAAGTTCATCATGAATAGCAGTAAAACGTTTCAGTAACTGCAGCGACCGAAAATTAATTACCGTCAATTTGTCAGCGGGGTTTTTATTTCTACTTACGTCGACGTGTATTCCCGGAAAAGGGAATATTTTAGTGCTGGGGTGCTCTTTCGGCGTGTATCTGTAAAACTCATGCCGGCCTCTGTACCACTTGACACAGTAAAGTGGTGCATCTTCGAGATCGTAGCTGCATCTCAACGTCGAGTCCTCGCCCAAATGGACGATTTCAGGCTCTATTTCCAGAACCACATCTTTCAAGCACAGAATCACTGCAAGTCGGGAAAAATCATTAATTTAAAGCAGACGGATAAGCAGAAGAAATTTTTCTATAATATTATATTATGGGCTTTTAATGAATAAATTATTTGGCGAATTCTGGAAGGGTTTTACAACCAGATCAATACATATCGCTATGCAAACTGAAAGGGTTGTTTCGTCAGTGTTATCAAATTTATTTTATTAAACTTGAACTGATTTTCGTTAGTCTGGATCTATATTCATCATACTTTTAATGAATTATGTATTTAAACACAAATGTTCGAATATAATTACTTCATTAATTACTTTAAAATTTCATTCATTTAAATTGCAAATAAAGCAAAAATTTGTACTTTACAAAGCTAAAATTATGAAAAGTTTACACTTCTCAAAGTATTGAACATCAAACAATGCATAATTCAATATATGATTAAATCAAAACCAAGTAAACGTTTCATAGGTTGAGGGGTAAATACAATTTCCAAGATTTTACATTATTCATTCTCTGCATCTGCTAGTATTTTTAATAAAATATGTTGAGAAGTAAATTCTTTAAATTTGAATCTCAAGCAAAAACTGTAAAACTGAAAACTTAATTAAAAAGTTATATCAAAAATTTAATTAATTTTAACTACATTTTAACTAAAATACCTATAATTCATGTAATAATTATACAGTCAACGCTATATTAACTATGTGGGCATGCAAACGCAAGTAGCTATAAAAATTATATTATTGTGTTGCTAATGTGAGTATTCAGTGAAGCACCTACTAATTTTGTTTGTCTTAGCAGTTAAATTATTATTAAAAAAAAAAATTACTTGAATTATATTTATTATTACTGTTATTTTTAAAGTGTAATTTTTACTATACAAAATTATACAGTGATCGGCAAAATTATGGAATTATTTATTAAAACTGAAAATATTGTGTTTTGATAAAAATGTCAATTTTCTTGTTAAAAAATACAAAATTTTCAACTTGATTTTTTGTTGATATTATTTCACTTTTTGGATAATTGTTTTTCAAAAACTTTATGTAATATTTAATATTTTGGTGTTGTCATTTCGATAGTTAAAAATCTATCAAATTGGCTAAAAAATTAGGGGTTTTCATTTAATAAAAATGTCGATTACTTAAATGCCAAAAAATGTAAAAAAAAATTTAATATATAAAAATATATTCAGTTTTAGTAAGATTGTTCCATAATTTTGTCACTGACTGTATAACTAATAAGTTAGAGAAAATTGAATATAAAAACCAGATGAGTACCTCAGCGTGTAAGTACAAAAACTGTAATAAAAAAATCAAAATACCACAACGTGGAAAAATGGAAAAAACTAGACAGTAAAAAATAAAAATAGAGGTCTAAAAAAGCTTTCAGGTAAGTAATAGAATAAAATAATGTAAAAAAGCCAAGAATTGGGTTGAAAATAAAATACCTATGTAGTAAAATATGTAGTTGTAAGAAAAATATGTGGATTAAAAAAAAGCTCGAGGGGGAAGATTAGAAAATAACTAACATATTGTATTACGTACTATGTGGTAGGTATGTACAAGAAGAGAAGGAAGTGCATTAGCTAGAAAGTATAAAAAATAAAACAAAAAGATTAAAATAGAATTGCAGAATTGTTAGAAGATTTTAATTAAACATAAATGTAAAATAAGAAAACAAAAAAATAATAACAAAAAATTTGGTAAATTAGTAAAATATTAATAAAAAGAAAAAAAAATAGACTTACTATATTAAAACACTTTACTAGAAAACAATTACAATAAATATTAAGTTATGTAGTTACCTCCAATTAGGGTTATTTCATTAGGTAATCTATGATCCAAAACTAAAATTTGACAGCAAGAGAAAACAAATGGGGGAGTTTTAATTGTTTTTAATTTTATATGTAATTTATTGTGTAATGTTAAAGTTTGTAAAGTATTTTTTTGACATAGGGCAAATTGGCCGAAACCGGTACCCGATAATAAACAATTTGCAATTGTGAGAAAATTTTATTTTTGTACCATAAATTACAATATTGGTTTATAAAGTAAGAAGTAGGTACAAAATATAGAAATAGAAATATGTAACAATAACAAATTAAAATAGTAAATAATGAACAAAACATTAATTAATATGTTAAAAAGTAATAATAATTTGTGTTGAGTTCTTTTAGTAATAATTGTCTGAGAATTTCTTATTCATTATTAGTTATTAAAATTTTTGCAAGAGCATAATTTTTAATTCTTGTGCGAGTTTTTAATAAGATGTTTGAGAAGTGGATATAATATTCGCAGTATGCATGTGCTTTAGGATACCGCTTCCTCTAATCCAGCGCTTTCCTCATCTCTCCCATCAGATCTGTATTCTCAACGAAACCGCTTTAAGCGGCCTATATCGTGGAAGATATTCCTTTTCAAATTGTATTTCACATGAGAGGTAACACTATTGTCAACATTGCAGCGGCCCATTTGCAATTCATGTTAATCCCTCATCTGGAAAATACGCTTCCGGATATGTCTTTATTGTACGTTAGCGCACTTTTCTCTCCGACATTGGATCCGTCTGTAAAAAACGCCAATTAACATTTCTCAGAAACGTGTTGTTCTTCAACTTGTGATCAAAGTGATTTTAATTAATTCGCTCGGCATAACAAATTGGTCCTTATTGCCGATTTTCGATAATTAGGAAAAGAGAGAAGGTTTAATTGGTGGGAAATGCTCCTGTTGTTATTCTTCCAGGACGAGGACTTAATGGGATTTTATTAACAAGTGAAATAATGGAGTGAGTTTAATTTATCATTCAGGTGCTGACAGAGGTCCTGTTTAAATAAATTTTCGCTTTCACAGGACAAAATTAAAGGACTTGGTCGGCTTTGGGCGAGCTTTTTATCTAGTTTGCTATACAAAGGCGGTATACTGAAACCAGTAATTTGGTGAAATATTACCGGCACGCTTTTTCTGTACATTAAAAAACACAAATGACAGGAATTTGTTAACAAAACGCGAGAGTATTTTTACTTATTTAATATTTATTTGAAGTTAATGTTTTAGCGGTGCGCAAGCATAAATCAGAAACTTTCCGAACTAAAAAGTCAACGTAACTCCGTTGCCAATAGCACATGTTTCAAATTAGTATAAGAGCAACAGAAGTTGTGCAGAATAGTGTGATTTATGTGACATTTCCACCAAACTGATTCAAAATCGAATAACATGAAAAGAACTTTTCATTATGGAAATCACAATTTTTCTATAATGTTCAGCTGTCGTATAAAACTAACTATTTAAATTTTGTTATTATAAACTCCATCAAATATGCATTTACTGAAACCATTATTCAACTTTTAATTAATGCAGTACTGAATTTTCACGCTTTTGCAATTAAGAGTAACTCGTGTGGCAAATTATTAATCCCATTTCTACTTTGATTCATTTTGTTGTCAATGTCAAAAGCTGTTTGATGCTCATGGCTTCGTTACAAATGTAAGTTCCCTCTTAACAACTATAGAAACATCAAAAGTAATACGATTTTCTCTGAAATTCACTAATATGAAATATGAAAAATTATTATTTTTATTAAAAAAACAGGAAAAACAGGTTTCAGCCTTTTCTAATATTAATTAATTTTCCAATCTTGCAATAATCAATATTTAGATGGAATATATTTTTTTTTCTATTGTATCAACTCTAGTCAATCCTGTAAGACTTTTTTCTTATCCAGCATCTCTTATAGTAGGTGAAAAAAATGTCTGGAACCAAACGTTTTTTGCTTAAACTATTTATATTTTGAAAAACTAGATTAAAGAATGATAAAGTACTATAAAAATGTGATGTTTTATCAAGAATAAAATTTTTCGAAATTCTTTTTTGTTATTGAGTTCTACAGTTTCTTTTATTTTTTTAAATGGAAACCCACTATAATACTATTTTTCTAATGAAGGTTTTAATTTAAGGATTACAACGATCTACTTTATATTTAATTTCCTCAAAAAAATAGCAGTTTAAAACCACAACAAAATTTCGTTCTTAAAATACGATCACATTTTGATCAATGATCAAAAAAAACCGCTTGGTTCCATACTTCATATTCACCCTGTATAAGCTTATTTGCAGTTTATACAACATCAACATTATTCGGACTTTTAATAAGTTTTAATTCTTTAATTTTAGTCTAACCTAGACCAAATAATTTTAGAATTCTTTTCTTTTTTATAAAAATTGATTCTGTTTTGCATGAAAACTGTTTAAGTTTTAAAGACTTACAAAAAATGCATTTCTTAAAAAACTTATATTTTCAAAGTTCGTTATTGTTAAAATCCTAACCTTCAGTTAAAATCAACCTAAATTATATCTAATATAGCAATTCTTTATTTTTTTAATGAATAAATAACCAAATAGTTAATCAAAAAAAGTAAATATATTAAAATTTTGCAGTAAAATAATGCAGAACGAAAATATTCTCACAATTTGTATTAGCCGCAAGCTAATAGCAAAGCTTCATACATAATTCAGTATAGATTGCAGTTTGTAAATACAGTTTTATGACTTGCTGTAACAATGACTAAAGATCTAATTATGCAGATTATACTGTGCCGTCTTGAGATTTATTAACGAATTTGTTGCAACAAAAAATTAGATATCTGGTAATTTTTGACTGCAATTTTTCCTTCTTTGTCGCGAGAATATTAAAGTGTGAAAACGCAAAACCTGGTAATCGGAAGCTCGCCCTATCCGCATTCTGCAGCTATATTTTACGGTCGATTAAAACCACTATTAAACCAAAATGTGGCTCATAAAGTTGGCAACATTTATTTATGAGAAATGTGCAACATTTCATTTGCATGGTTGTATTGTAGCACGACCTGCACCAATAGGTTTTGACCATGGTTATGTTGCCCGTAAAACACGAAAATATACATAGATTACTAACCAATTCCTGCACACTTTTATTACACAATAGAAATTTAATTTACAAGGAAATAAAAGCCAACCCTTGTAAAACATCTGGAAGTAATATACCTCGAAAGTAGGGTCGAACTTTGTATTTATTATTGCACTAACGGCCGATTGTTTTCTAAATAAACACAGTTGTCGAAGCTCTACACTGGTGGTCCTATCTAAATAAAAATAAATAAAATGATAAGGAGGAAAAAGTTAAGCATTTTCGCCGGTGGAAAGATTTATGATGCTTTTCAAACAAGAGCAGATTTAATTACAGAAGCGGAAATGTTTTCCCATCAGATAGCGTTTTATTTATTCTGTAATAACATAACAGATGCACTCCATCACAGAAAATTAAGCTAATGTACATTTGTAATTATGTATTGTTTAAAATATATTTTTAACTCAAAATATTTTTGTCGTTTTTTTAATTTCCTCATTTTTGGGGTTGGTACTAACCCTTAATTAACGTCATCAATTTACAAATGCCACTCAACTAAACGGAAATAACAAGACTATTTCATAATCCCTACCTCGAAATTTACGACCTCTTAAACAGAGCATCCAGGACATCGTTATTTGCTAATAAATCCGAAACCTCGTAAAATTGCTTTTCGGCAAACGAGTATGTAATTAGGCTACGCCATGGCTTTGGTTAAGCCATAAAAACATTGTTACAAAAATCAATAATATTTCCGACTTTGCAATTAACACGAGTAAATAAATTTAACCGAGTCCAAGACATGCCAATTAAATATTCTTTGTAAAATTGTGAATTCTTTATAATGTTTGGAAAGAAAATAAAAGTTTAAGAATTTGAGATCAGAAATGTTTGCAGTTTACTGTTTATTGAATAATACAGAAGGGAAATATAAATTAAAGGTTTTTGCTCAGGCTGTGGTTTTGGTGAATAGAGGGATGTGATAATGAGGAGACACTATACTAGGGTGACGTTTTATTTAAATCTAACTGAACAAATATGTAGCTTTAACCTTTTTATTCCAACACTCAAACACGTTTTGTATGGGTTTTTATTATTGTTAGTGTGAGTTGAGAGACAAGTGATTTCGCATTTTAGTTTAAGAAGATTTGAAAAAAATCATAATAACAAAGTTTATAGAGCCTTAATTTTTCACACTGATACAATCTTTGTTTAATAAAATAAAAAAATTAAACTTGTAAAGAACTTTTCTGATAGTAGCGGAACGTGAGAAAGATTCAATTATAAGATAATAAAATAACTAACGCAATACAGATTCCATCTAATATTTGTATCGGATAAAAATTTTCCAATTAGGAAAAAATATTTTTTTAATGTAAACAAAAGTTAGTCATCTTTTTTTTTATTAGTATGCATAGGATATTTATTTTTAAGTGTTTAATGCAAAACACTTTTTAAAAATTAACCAAAAGCTTGCATTTTTATTTATTAATAGCTAATAATTTAATGAAACGTAATAAATTTGTTTATGTGATTATTTATGAGATAGCATGCAAAATATGATTAACAAAACATTGTAATAAAATCAATAAAATATGATTGTGTTGTGTCATATAAATTAGTTAAAAAAATAATAATTGTTTTGACCTTTAAAGAATGTATGTTTGTATAAAAAAAGGGCATAATTAAGAACAAAATAATGTTACATATTTATAAATTTGGATTCGAAGTCGACTATGAAAAACATAATTTGAGTCTTTGCTTAATTTAAAAAAAATGTGTACTATGTATTACCATCCGTCAAAATCAAAGTAATGGTGCTAAAAGCAGATGTACCACAAATTGTTATTAAAAAGCTTAAAAATTAAAGTTCTAATTGACAAATCGAAGTATCTTTCATTTCACACAGAGTGACAATACACATTTTAATAATTTTTTATCAAGCAAAGACTCGAATTTTGATGCTTAGAGTTGACTTTGACCTCAAATTTATTTAATCATACAATCTAATAGGTGTTTTCTTAAATTTGGCGTCATAGTTGGCGGTGACGACAAGTGGGTTGTGAACGAACCACAATTTTTAATACGCCCGGCAAAGTGTCAAATGTCAGATTAATAACATAATAACTGTCAATACGATGGTTCGTTCACAATCAATCTTTCATGGATAGCTTTGACGCCAAAATTAAAAAAGCAGCCGCTACATAAATCTATTTATATTACTTACTTTAAAAAATAGGTGGGGAGATACCATAAACATTTCTAGAAAATTAAACGCTTCTTTCAATGTTATTTAAATTTTGAAACAAAATTCATGTTTATTTATTTATATTTGTTTATAAACAGAATATTACATTGTCACAAATTTATATGAATGGTATGAGGCAATAATAACCACATGGTGAAGTTTCTGTACTAAAATAAAGCATTGTTATATACCCTATTTATTTTATAAAAATAAAAATTTGTACCTAGTTCATTAAAAAAATGTATAAATTTTAAAATGATGTGTAAATTTAACATAATGTCGAGAGGCTAACATAACTTAGCTTTCAGCGATACATGAACTTCATAATAAAGTTAGTTATGTTATTTTTATGAGATTGTTTATGTTTAAAATAGAAAAATAACATCACATTTCTTTTCTCAAAGTTTTATAACAAAACAAAAATGTGATTTAAACAAAGTTTTGTTATTAATGAACTAATAGTTTTTGAAATAAATGCTTGTTTAAAATTTGTGGATAAATTTTCTTTTCTTTTTGAGTCTCACCTCTTGCCAAGTTCAGCACCAGCACCCACAGCAAAAGACGCCCACTTTGCAACATTGTCTCCTACGGCCACATGCACTCCATATCAAACTTTTGCAAACATTGCCAAAATCGCAACATTATCGTTTTCTTGTTCGGGCCGTTTCGAAGTTTCACAAGACACTTGTTCCGCGAAGTTTCGACGCGCTGGACCGAGTGAGAAGTGGATGTAGCAAATCTCCGGCCGAGAGGGGTGCGCAAGCGTGCACCCCCGCTGTTTACAATACAATGAAACACCCCGAAGAGCAATGCATATGATTACCAGCAATTATCAACTTTGACATCTATTTGCATAGGAATCTGCACTCAAGCAGGACGCTAATCATTGCGAAAATTCACCAAATAACCATTTTATTAGAGGCCGTAAACCGGGGGAACATCTTGCGATTGTTGTGAGGGATGGAATTTTATGTGAGAGGGCTAATTGATTTATTTGGGGTGAAAGTGCGGGGTATCGGATGTAAATTATCGCAGAAGCATAAATTGGGACATCGACATAGAGGGATGGATCCATAAAATATTTTTTATTAGGTGTGCGTCCATGCAAATTATTCATTTTTTATTTTCTAGATTTATGACTCTCTATTTATGTAGGGTAAACTATAGATAGGTGTACATTTTTTACCAGAGTAAAAAAGAAAGCATTTTGAACATTTGCCATAATTTTCTATTTTTCAATCTTATTTTATTTTGTTCTGAATTTAAAGTATTGTCAAAGTAACAATTCATATTTTTTTTTAACACTCTGTAACTTTTTAAGAGAGTACTATTATATGACAAAGGTACATTAAGGTTAATTGCTTTATTTTGACCTAAAAAAGAAATAGTAAAACAATTACATTCAATTATAACTCACTCTGTATACGCACATACAGAGTGAGTTTTAACTTATATGCAAAAGGGAATGATAGTTCTTGTCTAATAATAACGAATAGTGAAAAAAAATTCTAGTAAAAGTTTTAAGTTTTTGAAATGTTGCGTCAACCTTTAAATTTTAAATAATACCAATAAAATTGTAATTATTTTGAACAAACTTGATATAGTGGTAGATATTGACTCCTTTACTTTGACATTTTATAGTGGTAATAAAAAATAATGAGTAAAATGCAAAATAAATTAAAGAATGGTTATTTGTATTACAAGAGAGAAAACTGTATCTTTTCTTCTCCGGTCCAGCAAGAAAAGCTACAAAAATAACAATTTTTCTTGATATCCCAGTTTCGCCATAGGACCATGTTTTTCTGATTCTATGGGGGAGGTAAAATTTTTACCTCTGTGAGAGGTCCCTCTCAGGGACTTGGCCACTTGTCTTTTATAAATTTAGGGAGGAAAAACTTACTTTTTGTTAAGGTCGTACAAAAAACTTTTTTTATTTCGTAGATAATTCGACAAAATTGCAAAAACATTAAAATTAAAAAAACTGTTTAAATTATTTCGACCATTTTCAATACACATTTTAGCTTTCTGTATTCATTGCTTTCCACAAGCACGGCCTAAACCTAAATAAATATGGCCAGTTTTTTTTTAATTTTTGATTTTTCAGATTTTTGTTGTTTTTTTTCGAAAAGTACTGTTTTTATTTTTTTGGAAATTCATGAGATTAGATATCCCACAAAGAAAAAAAGTTTGTTTTGCATTTTACTCCTCATTAATCATACCTTTTTTTCATTGTCACTACCAAATGTCAAATTAACGAAGTCAGAGTCTACCAGTATATCAAGCTTGGTTAAAAAAATGATAATAATAGTATAATTTAAAATTTTAAAGTTGAAGAGTGTTTTTATGACGCACCTAAAAAACCTTTACTAGAATTTTTTACTATTTGTTATTATTCAGCAAGCATGTTTATGCGTATAACTAAGACTCAGCTTGTATAACTATCCTACCCACTGCGCCATTAATTTGTATAGTGTAATATTTATTTAAATTTGGCTTGGGTGGTGATTTTATTGTGTTTCTTGATTTTTTATTGTTGCCACCGCTTAGGTCAGATAAAGCAAACAAATCCTTTGCAATCACCACCAGTGGCAGAATTAATCTTAAACCCTCACACAGCGATAATAGGAAGAACGATGGGTCCCTATAAAAGGCGAGAAACCGGCTTGTTGTCATCTCCTGACATAAATACAGTGTTAGAATTGCCGAGGGGCAGATTAGCCTTGTTTATTCTCGCTGAATTGGCGCGTATGTGAGTATATTTATGTAAAATTGAGTTGTGGTGAGACAAATAAAGATGTTTTCTTGTTGTTTTCAATTATGAAACAACATAAAACACGCTCCATCAGGTCTTTAAATGACAAAATTGGACTGTAATGGGCTCGAATACAGGAACAAGAACGCAACAAGAATTTTAGGGTCGGAGGGCGAATAAATTGGGGTGTCTTGAGTCACAATGCTACGATTGGTATGTTAAGCATTTACTTTGTAAAACTGAACGAGAATTATTTTTATGGTTAGTGTTACAAAATTGGTGCAGTGGGTAGGAAACTATTTTATTTCAACATTTTTTTAGTTGTTTTTTTTTAACAAAAGGAAACCTTCTCGTCTACTCCTGTAAATCCCCCATTTGCATTATATTTCAGCGCCGGTCTTTCATCCCACACTTCGTTGTGCTTACAGCGTTGTTCTTTCTTCCTTGCGTAAGTTTAACCGCAAGAACCGAGATATATGCAGGACAACGTAAGCATAAAATTCAATAAAGTGTAGAAATTGAAAGAGCCGCTACCACCTCTAACGAGTTGAGTGTAAACTTAATTACACAAAGTAAGGTGAACTTCCCCAAGAAGTGAAGTCGCGACTAAAATCGCATTAGTATATTGTATTAAGTTCACGCCTTTGAGTACGGAACGAAGAAATACAGCAAAACTCATATTACGGAGTTATTTCGCTATATTCGGTTAGTTTCTATACTTTGATCAACATTCCGCTCGTAAATTATACGTTAGAAATTTACTACGAGCGAATAGTTAAACGCTGTTCTTGGAACAATCGTAGATAGTACTTTCGTAAATTAATACTTGAGCTTCGGTTGCCGCCTTTCTTACTCTCCAAGGACTTATTTTCGAATTATCGGAGGGTGTAATTGTTTAGAGAATTTTATTCAAAATAGTTACAAGAAAATACCATTAACTGAAAAGTTCACTTTGAGTTAAAATTAATAGCAGAGTAAGGCTTTTTAAATTTTTAAAATACTTTTTCTCTAAAAAAATATCTTATACCATTTTTAGTCTACATTTAAAAAAAAGAGTTTTAGTCAAAAACTTGTTATTGTTAT